CTGGAGGGTTTCATCCTGCTGCGGGGCGCTCTACATGTATGTAAAATGAAATGTAATTAATTAAAACAGTCTTCTATATATTTATATATTATTGACAAATTTCATGTGTTGCGTTCACATGGCCTGTGTACGACTACTGTGTTTGTTTGTATATATATAATTTATCAAATATCAATTCAAAAAGCGGTACTGCTCTTTTTTTCTTTTTTCGTGTGTTGACTGGCTGGTTGCTCATTTGTATACATATCTCTGCAGGGGGGGCTCTGATTTTCTCCGTTACTTTTTCCTGACTACGCACGCATCTCGTTCCTCGGGTCTGCGCTGCCTGGGTCATCCGTCTTCATCAAAGGTTTCGAAAACCGACCGGAAACAGAACCGATCTGGGCACTGTTTTTTGGTTCGGTTCAACCATCCGGGTCAAATGGTTTGACATGTGATGTCATAAATAAATTAAAAATAAAAAGTACTTATAAATAATAAAAAGTACCATAAAAATTAAATAAAATACAGAAAAAGATTATTATATGGAAAATTAAAAAAATCTAAATGTAAAAATAATAAAATAAAGAAAAAATATACAAAAATAAAACAGAAAGTAGGATGTGTTTAATCATGTCTTCAGAAAATTCAAAAAATACAGAAAAATTCCAAAAACACAAAAAGACAGAAAATTGCAAAAAACTCAGAAAGTAGGATGTGTTTAGTCATATGTTTGCAGAAAATTCAAAAAATATACAGAAAATTTTCAAAAAAATACAGAAAAAAGAAAGTAGGATGTCTTTAGTCATATGTCTACAGAAAATACAAAAAAAATACAGAAAATTCCAAAAATATAGAAAAAACACAGAATTACAAAAAAATACAAAAAAAAACAAAAAAAATACAGAAAGTAGGATGTGTTTAGTCATATGTCCACAGAAAATAAAAATAAAAAAAGTACAGGAAAAAACACAAAAAAGATGCATGAAAAGTGAGCACACTTAGAAAGCAGAGGATTAGCATTGCTAGTCAATAGAAACTGTCAACTTATATACAATAGAAGACTACAATGTGGTCATTTCCTTTGAAATGGTTTCCCTTTCCATCAATCTGTGGGCAAATTTCATTTTGAACACAGTAGTAGACACGAGAATATAGCCATAAGCATTTATAGAACACGGTAAAAAGTAGTAACAAAATGGATAATGGGATTCCAAGGGTTTATCCCTCTGTCAAACTAGGTCTTTCCCTAAAGTTTATCCCTCTGTCATCCCAAGTCCTTCCTGCTCAATCATTTCACGTAGAAATTGCCATAAAATTATGCATTTGTAACTCATCAATCACAATACTTAGGTAATAAAAAATAATAATAAAAAAAAATCACAAACCAAGGTTCAACAAGTATTAAACACAAATCAAACTTCAAGTTCAATATATAAATTGTATTAATCCAATTATCCAAATTCTCAAGACATGCTGGTCTCATTTCTCAATGATACCAACTACCAACCAAAGTAAGGTGATATTTCATCATTTTCATCTTTAGGAAGTTGTGTTTCATCTTCATTTTCAAGTTTGGTGTTGGATATATTTTCCTCTAAGATTCCCCATTGCTCATTAAAGAAATCATCATAATCACTATCTAAAGAATGAAAACAAAAAATTAGAATTCAATAAATAGCCAAAAGACTCTTGTATGAAAATGTCTATGATATAATATTAATAATAGTTACCTTCAGTCATAGCTCTTTTTCTTGATAGTGCTTCCATTATTGGAAATTTTGTTTCATCATCTTTAAACATATCATCATTCTCATAACTATCAAGTAATGGAGGATCTCCATCATCATGCACTATCCAATCTTCCACAACATCAACATGTTCATACCCAATTAGGTCAAGTGATAAAATTAAATGCAATGAAAGCATAAAAAATAGACAAATGTGAAACATAAAACACTTGTCCATCCATCATACGCATGTTGCAATGAACATATACTAGGTCATTAAGCCTTTAGTACTCAAACCTATTCCTTCGCTTTATGTGTATATATATTTAAAAACATTCTAATTGCATTCACATCTAGATGAACTACATGTTTGGCTAAGGGTTCGTACAACAATTATTTTCAAATTTGGTGTCACAACCAAATCTCAACCACCATTCACTTACATGCAATGAAATGGAGTTGATTTAATTTATAAAATAAAATTAAAATGCTTATCCAAAATTAAAAATAAAAGAAAAATTGAAATAATTAAGAAAATAAAATATTTATTACCATGAGGCATTGTCTTAAATGTCTTCATTGATAAATGTTTTTCAAAATTACCACCACAAGTTTTAGAAATAGAAAACTCTTTGTTTAGATTTATCTCCACATCATCTATTTCAATTACAAGCTTTTCAATGATAACAAAAACTGTTGATATAACAACCGAAGATTTGACTTTTGATTTCATATCATATTAGAAGGCCGAGTTGAAATAATAACTTGCAAAATGAAGCTTGTGACCTTTTTGTGTATCCCATCTTCTATCAATAACCTTCATGATTGGGCCATATTCAGCTTTCTTATAATTGAAATACTTTTTCAATGCTTTCCTTTGCACATGGCATGATACATATAGTGACATGAAACCTACAAACATAAAAATTAAAAATATAATAATAGCCCCAATTGACCAATTCAATTTGGGACACAAGTGGAATTTATTTATTTATTATTATTATAATTATAGAAAAAATAAAAAATATAACCCAAGAACCGCTACCCAGGTCAGATGGTCTAGCGGTTCTCTAATCATTTCAACGTTTTCTGAGGATTAGTGATTCATAGTATAACTTGAACCGGAAACCTAACCGGTTCTTGGGTCAAACAATCAAAGTGCCCAGTCCGGTCTGATTTTCAAAACATTGACGTGTATGCAAAACTTTTTATTTTCTTGATAAAGAAAAAGAGTATTGGCAAAAAAAAAATCAATAACTCTTCTGCAATCGAACAAATCTCCCAGTAGAATCGTGTTTTTAACTTTTTATGCTTGCTTAGACTAGATTGATCATGGAGGCTTCGTGAAGCTCGAGATTCAAGATTCTTAAATTCAGATGATGGGTAAGCTTTTTCTTTTAGGCTCAGTTTGGAAAGAATATAAATACAAATATGTACAGTGCAAATACATATAAAATACAAGATTTTGCACTCTACAAATTTACATTTGTACTACTTCCAAGCTAAGCCTTACGACTGAACTTTGTCTTAAATTTCTTTTGGTTCGGGCGAGTTGAGTTATGAAATCCTGGTTAAATCATGGCATTAGCTTGTACACCTTGTCACTACCGAGTCGAGATTTGCTACTTTACCAACACGTTTTTAACATGATTTGTCTCCCCATGTCTCACTATAAGGATTGGTTCTCACAATGTTTAAGATGTGAGATTGGATTTAGTCCTCAGTACTCACCATGCTCTGGTCTATTCACAGCCATTTGCAGCAAGCATTGAGAATAGTGTGATCACGGTCTTGTGAGGAGTAAATCTGAGTTCTTGATCGATGTACAAGGCATTAATTATGTTGAAACATTTTGAAATGTCTTTTGTTGGGAGCAGATGGTTTCAGTCTAATCACTAAAACCAAGTATTTTGTAGGGGTCAAAATCAACATCTGAATTAAAGTTATATATATTTTATTGGCAAATATGGATTGATATATATTGTGATACACTTTGGATAAGTATAGATGTAGTACAAAGCCAGATAACTTAGTGAGAGTCCCACAAATGCATTAATAACACTAAATCAAAGATTGAATATAGTCAATGACTAACGTATCAGTCTGAATTAACTGATTGGATATATATGACACAATATGGACAGAGTACCAACTGGCACATATGAAATGAATTGGAACTTGGCTTCAGTCAGTGCAAGGTTCATTCGAATAGCCTTTATGGCCTTGCATTGGAATATCTCTCCGTACATAGGTATGAAGATATTCCCAATGCAAGGCTGTTTGGTGTTTTAACGCACTGACTGAAGCCGATCTCAACGGATTGGCACCTCGTCACTATGGAAATGGGTACAATAGTGTCCATACTTGAATTAAATATATGGCTTGCCATGACAATACTCCTGATTTCTCACATTTTGCCATACCTTAATGCTGCGTTTGGGTTCCTCGTAAAGTGAACTAGAAAAGGATAAATTGTTTCTTCTTTATTTAATTTCTCATGAAAATTAGGGGTGGTAATTAGGGATGTAAATAGATTCGATTTGAATCAGGTATATCCGAATTCAGTCTGACATTGTTCATAATTTGAATTCAAATCCTATCGGTAAATCGGATCTGATCCGATCTGATTTATTTTCTTTAAAAATTAATAAATTATTAAAAATAAATAAAAGATACCAATTTAAATAAAAAATAACAATACAGATATTTTTTTTTAATTATTTTGATCATATATATTTTTATAAAAAATAAATAATATAATAAATTTATAAAAATACAATATAAATAACATATATATAAATATATAACATATAATCATCCGAACCATTTAAACCCATTCTGGCAATTGGAGGGATGCTGAGAAGATGTATAATAAAATGGGAGCGCAGAGGAAACCCAGTCCGGCGGATGTAGGAGGGCTTGAGCGTTCATCTCGTATCCAGTAATTAACTGAGTTAGACTCGCTACCCAAACAGCTATGTCTTTCCACTTCCCCCACATTAGAATCAAGCAGAACTCATAACTGTTGTAGTTTGTTTTGAAATTTAGGCAGTGCAAATGATTTAAGTGTAAATTCTGACCTATTTTTATTTCAAATATTAGATTATTTTATTCGATTGCACTACAAATAAAATAAATTAAGACATAAAGCATAATAAAGTAAAACCCAAAATAAAATTAAACAAGAATTTGCACTCCTATGTATTTATATTAATGCAAATAAAATTGCACTGCAACCAAATACAACATTAATTAAGTATAATAGACACAACGAGGATCAACCATTCAACCTAGAATTTTAAGGTGTTAGGTGAGGGAGGTTCAGGTAATTTTTCAATTCTCATCTTGGTAACTGATCCAGTTCCAGGTTGATAGTACATCACTCCATTATAGCGTTTTAACTTTGAGGCTTTGCTTTGCATGTAGGGGTGTCAATGGACTGGATAGACCAATAAGACATTGAATTTGGACGGACTAGACGGACCAATATGTCATATTGGATTGGACCTGGTCTGTCCATAACGAATTTATATTGGATTGAGCCAATATCTGGTACATTAATAGAAAATAAGAACATAGGTGTCAATGGACCAAGTTTGAGTTGAAACCAATCTAAATTAACAGGAATTTGAACAGATTGGACAGTCTCTGAACCGGTCCAAAATGATCCAAAATATTCATTGAACTGAATTAGATCAGATCCATTTGTAATGTAATCACATTGGACTGGACCGGATTGGACCAAATCCAGTCCAATTGACACCCCTATTTGCATGAAATATCAAATGTTTAATTAACTGCCAATGTAAGAATTCCAAATTCCAATCCAGAATTAAGGGACCAAGGACAATTTAGTGGTCCACATAGCGAGTAGTACTCCATTCATCCATCCATGTAAAACCAAAGTCTGAGCTGTTAATAGGGTTGATTTCACAGGACTGACAGTCTCACATGTGATGCCCTTTGTCTTTGAGCTGAGGTGGTGGGTTTGGGATGGTTGGCCACGTCTGTAGGACTATAATCTCAGTCAGTCTGTAGGAGGCCAATACAAAGATAAGCTTAAGGCTTAAGCTGTGAAGATGGTAGACTGTGGATTGAAGGAATTCAAATCAGCCCCCTACAAAGTGGCGACCCACAACGTCCCCACACCACATCCCAACCGTGTATTAAAAACATCCCAATGGAATCGTTTCATTGAATCTCAAATGTGATTCAGCACCATTTAGGCATTTATTATAGAGATATTAGTGTCATGGGCTTGGCCGACACGGCCCTCTTAAAATAATTAACACCCACTACACCCATAAATCATAATCCCTCGTATTTGAGAGACGGGATCTGCTCCTCACAGTCGGGCGCCTCACATGCACATTCACCGTGCATTGAGAATATCTTTCGTGAATAATAACTTAAAAATACAAAAGATGTTCCCAATGTATGGTAGGATGTGTTTGTGAGGCGCCTTCTATGAATAGCAGATCCGGTCTCCCTATTTGGATATGTGAAATAGACACTAGACAGCGCGTGGAGTTTGGCGATTCTCTCCTGAATCCTGATGACCCACATGACGATATAGCCACAAATCCGGAATATATATCGTACTTGTTTGTTGTGGTCGATGACGCTGATTCCGGACGTGCGGCTGTAGCGTCTTGTGGGCAATAAATCAGAACTCTCTCCGGTCCCCACAACTCGAGAGTGTAAAAGAGAGAGAAGAGTTCAGAAAGTGGAGGCCATTGACATGTGCAAATGTGCAATGCACATGTGGTGGGCCTGGTCACTCCAGAATCCAGATCTGTTAGACATGCAGACGTGTACAGTGGCTGCCTAACCAATCAAGAGTGTACACGTCAGTGATCTGTACACCTGGCGTGTTCACTCTTGATTAGTTAAGCCTAAGCCTGCTGTAAATGCCTTTGCTTGTGGCAGATCCTGGGCTTATGTCTTGTGCTTAAATATCTGGAATGTGGGTCCTGCACCTTTGTTTGGCATATAACCAGCAATTAATGTGCGCCATAGGATTCTCTGCAATCAAAAATTCTACATACACAATAATTATTAATCCCAAGGTGACAACTAGCAGGTTGGAGACTTAGGATCGAATTCCGCCTGCACCTGGATTGGATTGGGATGGACTACTCCGTTGTGTAACCTTTCAACCATCGGGTCTTGGTATCTGGTCCATTCAAATTGTCCCCTAAACACGTATGTATGGCACTTGGGCTCTGTTGGTACAAATCTGAACTTGATGCAAAATTTGGACCCAATTCAGTTTTGCATATATACATTATACACTAATACTTTTTGTCTCGTTTGAATTGTTGTCTATGTAACTTCACATTCTAAAAACTGTTGCAAAATTTCTATCACGTTCTTTGGGACCTTGGTTTTCACCTATAAATTCACGTCATTGTACTTTCTACCATGATTTTTCTTAAATAGATTACTTTCCTCCTGTTTCTAATTTATGCTTCGTTTGGAAACAATGCAAATGAAGAGTAAATCTTGGTTCAAGGTAAATATATACTTTGGTTCAGTTTTGCTAGTGTTTAGTAAGAGCTTAGTTATGCATTGACAAATGACAAAAAACATATTTTCTGATGCATGTTTACATCTAAAATGATATGTAAATGTATATGGATAAAAAAAGAAGTAAATTTACATTCAATGTGGACTATTGTTAAAAAATGCATATATTTTATTGGGATTCATGTTTGCATCAATTACAGCTAAAAATCTGTTAGATAAGAAGACATATTTATCAATGCAAAACTAACCCAACTTTACATTTGTATGAACCATTTTAGGGAGCATTAATTTTTCACAAACACACCATACAAAATCAAACTTGAAGCAAAATTAAATAAAATTTACGCTCAACCCATATACATCTCTTTATTTACGCGATACAAATGAAATCCAATGTGCAAGCAGACGGAACCTTGGAAGTGAGAAGTTGGAACACATCTCCCGAGCAGAGTGTGTTAGACGTGTGACAACCATGGTTTTTAAAACTGATTCGGAGATCGAACCAGTCAAGGGTCCGGTTATTGGGTCAAACGGTCTGACTGTTCAAACCGAATGGTCGGCCCATTTTGACAAAAAAGGTAAAAGAAATTAAAAAGATTAAAAAAATAAAAAACTGTCAAAACCGTTCGAACGGTTAACTGCCTGGGTCAACGGTTTATTGATCAAAATCAATGGTTTTTGGCAAATTTCCGGTTTTGGGAAAACCGAAACTGGTCATCTGATCGGTTTCCAGTTTTTCTGATCCAACCATCCGGTCTGGTTTTAAAAACCATGGAGACAACACACTTGGATCTAGGGATGGACCAGTTTTGGGTTGAATCTGTCCAAATCAAAATCAATTTGAATGGATTGGACAGACCAATAAAATATACTGAATTGGACCAGTTGAGACTCCGTGGTCCAAAGTATTTATTAGATTGGATTGGATCTAGTCCATCCTTTATACATTTATATTAAATTGGGTCAGATTGAACCAATATCTGATTGATTGATAGAAGATAAGAAAATAGGTGTGAATTGGAGCAGGTTTGTGTTAGAACCAATCTAAATTAAAACCAATTTGAACAGATGGAATTGGACCAAATCCGGTCCAATTGACACCCCTACAGTTTGGTCAAGCCATTTGTCATTGTTTGCTAAAAAATCTATGGGTTGAGGGAAGGAAGGAAGGAGGTCTTCGGAAGTGTAAAAGCTCGTCAGTTATCTACACCACAAGAACCGGATAAGACTGGTTAAGAAAATACCTCCATGCCTCACAAACCTAGTGAGCAAATTTTAGAAGAAAACAATTCAATCCCCACTCCCCACATTCGCCTCCCGTAGATGGAAGCTTCAAGGGTGCTGCTGTTGTCACCGGCAGCGGTTGTTCCGCCACCACTGCGGCGTCAAAGTTGCAACCTTGCATGTAGGAGAACCGGGCGGCGTGCCTCGCTTAAGGTGGTGGCCATGGCAGAAGAAAGCAGTGGCAGTGGCGATGGTATTATAGAGAAAGCCGCCATAGTGGGTGGATTGGTGTCAGCTCCGGTGATCGGCTGGTCTCTTTACACACTCAAGACGTCGGGGTGCGGCCTCCCGCCGGGTCCCGGGGGTTCCATAGGTGCACTTGAAGGTATAAGCTACCTAGTTGTGGTGGGTATTGTTGCTTGGTCTCTGTACACCAAGGCCAGAACTGGCTCAGGCCTCCCCAACGGGCCTTACGGATTGTTGGGAGCTGTGGAAGGCCTATCGTACTTGGCGTTGCTGGGCATCTTGGTTGTGTTTGGACTGCAGTTCTTGGACAAGGGTTTTATCCCGGGGCCGCTGCCTGGAGACCAGTGCTTTGGCTGAGTTCAAACTGCGATTCTCCTACTGGTGATTCTCTTCTTTTTCCCCTTTAAGCAGCCAATCGATTCGAACAATGTATAATTGTATATTATCTCTCTGTTTGTTAAGAATAGTGAATATGGTAGAGGTAGAGTAGAGCCGGAGATTCCTGAGTGCAGATTGATTGAGTGATTATGCGAATAAACAAGCTTGTGATTGAATACAAAATCGTCTTGCCAAATAAACTTTTGGGGTTTAGTGTAGTTCAGTCAGTATCAAATTAGTTTGGGAATCGCTAGATTTTCAGGAGAAAGTGGAGTGGAATTTAATGCTTGTATAGGGCAGAGCTATAAAATGATTTCAATCAAGGTTTCCAATGGTTGTGAAGCGAGCTGCACCTCAATTACAGAACAAGAGTCAGACTTCTGTCAAATTCTGTGATTGTGAGACTTGCGTTAGAATTTAAGCTCATTTTTTTACGGTGTACAGATGCTTAAATGACAACGTAGTTGATTCTCTCTCTCTCTCTAAGGCTTTCACGCAGCGGCTTCTTGCTTTGCAATATTGCCCAAATATGAAAAACCTACAAGTTATATTTGGTAAAAAACCCATAAACAAGAATATGTTTTAATTCAAACACTAGCAGAAAGGGAAGGAAAAAGGAAACAATTTTAAATAATTATTTATAGATTAATTGGGAGATTAAAAATGAAGGAAAAAGTTAATATAATTTTCAATTAAAAATCAAACTTCAGCAATTTACACTAATTATGTGCTACCTCATTTTTTGGGATAAATAACTCAATTTCAACGGCGTGATAAACATTTGCAAGACTGCAGCAAAAGGTAGGTGGACCACAAAGTGGAGAGTGTTTCTGGGTATACAAAATTTCCCATATTCTCTCATATACAAATTCTCTCTCTTCTTCCCTCTTCTCACTCTGTCTGCATTGTTTCTAAGCCCATTTACCCTCTGCATCCTTTTAGGAATTTGTCGTTTTTACATACTAAGTAGTAACAGATGGAGCCCAGTAACTGTTTAACCCGGTCCATTGCTAAACCGGGATGGAGAGGGGAGTTGGGGCATCCCCGAGCATTGACAAAAATCTTTGGCAGTCCTAGAGTGGGCCTTTAGAGCAACATCATACAAAATGTCCTTTCATTTCTGTCGTCAGATTGGAAACGATTCACCACCACAAATTACCTCCACCTTGTACTGAGTTAGGTCGTCCATGAAAGAGAGAGAGAGAGAGCTCCTATTCATCAAACTTTTTCCCTAATTTTCCATGATTTATATAGCATATACTTGATAAAGAAAATAGTATCCCATTCAGGCTTCCATATCTTCAACGGTCGACATTTGTCCACATTTTTGAATCTTATCTAAACCGTCCAACAGCATATACCCTTTTCTGAAACATTTATATAATTTATAAATTGAAAAAAGTGACCAAAAAGTTATACAGCTTTTACTTTTTTATTTTCTCATTATTAATAAATAAGCTGTTCTGAAGTACAAGATTGAATTAGTGAAGCCGCTGAGAGTGAGCGGTTTGATTCTTCAATTGTTTTATAATATATATTATAAATACAAATTCAAATATGTATACTTAATTAATCGGATTTTTGGGAATTAAATTTGAAAAATTTTCATTTTTTTTGAAAAAATAATTGTTTAATCCACCTTAAAATTCTTAATCCCGCCGTACAGATGGGATAAATGCTGATCTCAGACTCCAAATAACGCCTGTAAGACTCCTGTCTCTGCAGTCTGAACGTCTCAATGAACGCTTCAACTCGCCGATTCGATTCATCGTGACTCATTAATACCTCCCTCCTCACTTCCTCAGCCACCCACTCCAAATAACGCCGACGACGCAGTGTCGTTGAACGTCTCCTAGTTCCTTAGCTGCCGTCCACCGGTCGTTGTCACTGACGACGATGCCATTGATTCCGACTCTGCTCGACCACCACTCGAGGTGGCGTGTCCCACGTGTCACTCTTCCTCAACTGTCGTGATGCCGGATTCCGTCTCCCGCTTTAGAAAAGAATGGATGATACCAGTTAAATTTGGGGTTTCAGATACTCCAATTAAGTGGATTGATACAATTTCCACGTATAGGAGGAAAATTCTTCATAGTCCTATGACATTTATAAAATGTATAAAATCGATATACAGTTGATGGGAGTTAACAATTGCTTAAATTGGCTCACAGCATTGGACCAACCTTGTTCTTGTTTTTTTTTCGGTGTTTGAATGATAATTATCTCCTGCAAACACAAATTCATAATCATTGTTGTAAGTTAAAGATCAGAAACTCACCCATTACTAATTTACAAGGATTAATAAATAAAATAAACTGAAAAAACAGAGATGTTCCTAACCACCTTCCAAAGGTCCCTTGTTATTGCTTCCTGCGAGAAGAGTGAAGAGTGAAGAGTGATGAACTGCACCATTACCATTACCACTTGTAGAGTCATGTTCCCTAGTCGTTGCCAAGCATTCTTTGCACAATGCAATCAGTGCCGACCATGATCACTCATATATAGCAGATCCCATCCCTGTTAATTGTTATTATAGCTAGAAATCATCAAACTATACCAAGTTTTGGTCAAGGATTAATCCCTAGGTGTTTTGCACATTGTCCTTTTACCTGAGTTCTGAAACTCCAACAAAGAGTAGAATTAATGACAAAGCCCAATCTCCGTTGAGGACCACAACCCCACCCAAATTTTATGATTTGTTTACCAGGTTCCTTCTTACAACTTACCAGCTTCTGAAGCTCTTCACCAGCCCCTTCAATGCCCGCAAAGCCCTCCTCGCCTTTACACCCAAACATCAAGTTCCAACAATTACCACCACCAACCCAATCAAAATCTGAAAATCAAACACTGAAACTGAATCACACTGATCAAAGTTCATAAATTAAAGACTTTTTCTGATGGCGCGAAATCACGTCACCACTCACCAGTATTGCTTTTGAGAAGAGAAATGCTTTACCTCGGTGAAAATTTTTTAAAAGCAAAAAAGCGTGTTGGGCGAAATCATTTACTCAACAACTCCTTAACATTCAGGGAAAAAGTCGAAGGCAATGACATCTCGTCTCGCACGCGGCCCACACAGGATTTCTTTAAAAAAAATAAAAGGAAGTTTAAACACGAGATCAGACTAATTTCTCTACGTAATAAAATAAAACAACTGGCAATCATTTTGCATAAAAAGAAAAACTTTTTAAATAATTTTTATAAATAAAAAAGTAAAAATTGAATTAAAAACATAAAATAAATAAAAAATAATACATAATTATATATAACATATCTGAAACATATTTATACATTATTTATTATTAAGATATATTATTTAAGTCGTCATTGATTACCACCACTTATAAATGATTTGGCAATCTGTTTTATGCCACCAGCGTCATCTCTCTCAGCTTTTTTTTTTTTTTCTTTATTTTTGCTCCATAGGACTGAGATAGGTCATCCATTAAATCTACAAACCCCTAAACCCTGGTACAGGTGACGTTCAATCCCACCTCCTGTGAATTTTGTTGAAAACCACCTCAATCCTCATTGGTTATTCTGGTATGATGTCCTTCCAGAATCAGAGTCGAACCTGGGTTAAAACATGTCATAATCTGCCAGCCCCAACGGTGTACAATGAATGATAGCATCCCGCAATAGATTTTGCACCCCAAGTCCATTAAGTAGATATACTCACCAAAACAAAATAATTCTTTAAACTGGATATTACTAGAAGTCTAAAAACTTTTCAATCAAAGATCAGACATTCAGACGAAAAAGTAATTGACACAAGTTGAGACTTCCAGAAGAATTCGACTTTTGGCTGCAATGCTGCGTTCAGCATTTCAGTCAAATGTAACTAATACTCGAGGAAAAGGGAAAATTGTCAAAAATAATAGAAAGATAAAAAAAGTATTGTTTGATTAGCCTTCTTTTTCTTTCATTGATAAACAGCAAAATCGCATGGGCTCTGTTGCTTCCAAAATGCGACAAAACCGCGTGAACTGGTAACTCCGTCCCTAACGCTCTATAAATTAGGGAAAAAGAATTCCTAACAAGAACATTTACAGACTTCTGCAGACAACGTATTTACAACCGCCTTTTCACCTACCCTAATCTTCCACATTCTGAATCTCACCCATCATGATGCGGTTACTAACAACATTAAACCCTAAAACTGATGGGCTAACTTTCTTCCCTTTCTTTCCCTTTTTCTTCCCTCCCCCTTTTGTCGACACATCCGGACCCACTGCTATATCTGGTTCAATGTCCCCATTTCCTGCTTTGTCAATATTTACATCAGCAGAAGTAAACCCAGTTAATTTCTCGTCATTCCGAGCTTGAAAAGCAATCTCAAGCACATCCGCTGGCAACAACTCCTTGTAATTGAGGAACATGTCGATGAACTCATGGTCGGGATCAAAGGAGCCAAGGTTCTCTATCAAGAATGTTTCTGCCTCTGAAGTTGATTGCTTCAAACAAAATTCCAGGAAACTTGTATCTGGTCAAAAGTAGATCAAGAAGCACTTAATTTAAGACAAGACCCAAGGTAAAAAAAATAAAAATAAGCAAACATAAAATCCATCCGGCTCGCCAACTGACATCTAAGATGCACACATGGTTGCCCGTTAAGGTTGGTTTATCAATAACAGGCATTTGAACCATCAAATCAACTTTCAGGAAAGGCAATAAAAATTAAAGAAAAGAAAATTGGTAGATTGGCTGGTTAAGATCACCCATCAGATTGATCTGCCTGGGGAGATCACATGAGCACTGCATGACAGTGATGCAGAAGGAAAATTGTTTTAAGGCTTGATTCCATGCTAGCCTTAGATTCTTGTTGTCTTTGGGTTGTAATGACAACCCAAGTCGAGAAGAGAACCCATAACGACACCCTAGCATCATAGTAAGGAATGTGTTTTTCCTGGTCACCATCAGAGACGATGTCATTCCACAGTTTCTATACATTATTCCTTATAATGGGCATTTTCATAAATAAAGAATACAACACTTGAAAAGAGAATAAGCAAACGAAGATTAATAGGAAAATACCCTTTGTGCCAGTCAGCCTAATGCATTCGCTCTCACACCAATCTCTGAAGTCCATGGCCTCTGCAAAACATTACATGACTCAACATATCAGTAAAGCCTCCTTGCGTATTAAAGTATGTGCATGCTCCAATAAGCTCACCTGAATATTTGGCCAGGTTCACTCTCTTCCCTTTTAAGGATGATTGAGAAATAGAAGGAGAGGAGGTAAGAGTACTTTCCGACGATCTGCTGACAAAGGACTTCTGACGACTTGATGATCCTCCCACAGTTCCTTTGACAGCAGCAGTGTTTTTCAATCCCCAACTGCTTTGCTTTGCAAGAGATGGGAAATCTAGCCTGGTTACAACAAATAACAATGCAACTAATTAGTTTGAATACAGAAACAAGAAGACCAGAAACATAACAATGCAATGTGACCAAATACCACAAGCTTCTGTTCAATGACACTAGAAATATAATTGAAATTTGAAACTGGTATTGCTGAAGATGGCAGTAACATAAGTGACAACAAGAGGGGAAAGATCCTGAAGTCCACAAGCATCAAGCAATAGGCAGACAATACAACAAAAGAACATGATCTAGATTTAAGTTACAATATCTTATGGTTTCCTGAATGCAGTGTACTACAACACTGTATGCAAACCCCTCATTATAGAACCTCAAGAAGAAAATCAATGATATCCAGAAACTTTACTGCTTTGGAAAAAAAGAATGTTAGGCAAGCCCCAGCAACCTAATGTCAAATCCCAAGCACTGTTGTTATTATTACATTAAACCTCCATTAAGAATGATCCCCTAAAACAACTTGTTGGCTAAGCTATTGGTTGATCTTTGTCCATACAAATATTGTTATTAATTCCCTTGCCGGCTGTGGTGCTTCTCTGATCTTATGCCAAATCCCAAGAGCTAATGCCTGAGTTTGTGAGCCAACCCACTACTTCCTTTGAGTCCCTTTCTACCATTATGGCTCTATGGTTGAGAGCTTTAGCAATTCTTAATCCTTGCCATTCTGTGTCAGACACTTGGCCCTTGTAGAGTCTCCATAACCTATAGGTCCAGAGAAAATAGTCATAACATTTCTTTGACTATTCCTGAACACACCACCAAATGGTGAAAAAGCACAGGTTACCCAAGCTTTACCCGTCAAAGTTGAATTTGATGTAATGAGGACATGGTGGAGTCGAAATATCTCATATCCTGACTGAAAATGATTCATGTTACTCCATTATTAAGTCATCATCAAAGGAGAAAGGGACAAAAATCTTCAATGAATTAAGGTATGACAAGTTTATCTGATAAAAAAACCTTTTTTACTTTTTGATTGGTAATACCTACCTTTTTATTTTTATTTGGGGTTACCTGTCTTCTTTTCCTCTCCAGATAACTCGTTAAACTTTACAGCCTGGTGACTAATCAGACTGAACTGGATAGATTCTGGATATCTAATTCCCTTAGGCTGTGTTTGGTTTGAAGGAAAAAGTAGGGAAAGGAAGGGAAAGGTAGGGAAACCTTAACAAAACTTGTATAAGTTTCCCTACCTTTCCCTTCCTTTCCCTACTTTTTCCCTCAAAACAAGCATAGCCTAAGCAAATCTGAATCCAAATTCAAGTAGATCTTTTACAGATCCCATTCAAATATTTAATCAAATTCAGGTAACACCTGTTTGAATCAAATCCAATCCATTTACAACCAAAAAGACTCCCATGTAGAACTCTTTTTTTTTTTTTAATTCTTGGAGAATTTATTCTGAATCTCTGATAATGCCAAAAAAAGGTGATTCAACTTGAAGGTTGCAATTATACAATCAGCCAAGGAGACAGAAAGAAAAGAAACTGCAGCTAATCACATTGGTTGTGGTTTTGTCCTAAATGGAGCTCCATTCTTCAGCCATACCATATTTGTCATAATAATCACCATCCACTACCATCATTATCATCATTGTCATCATCAAAACCTTGTCCCGACCAAGGATCAAAATTTCGTCACATATTGACCCATATCGGCCAATACGTATTGTATCGGAGCCTTCTTGATACACACAGGGGGTGTTTCAGGTTGGCGATTGGTTCAGGGGGTAGACCGGTCTTAAACCGGCCCCTCTGAACCAGTTTTGAAAAAAAAAAAACATAAAAAACAGTACCGATACAGGCCGATATGCCCTACCGGCGTATCACCCTGTATGAACCTTGGTCCCGACTATATGGTATCATGGAGTCAGCTACATTAATCCTGTCTTGCTATTTCATTCTGTTCAGTGCCACATCCATTATAAAATTTTGAGTGCTTAAGTTAATTCTTAATACTTCAACCCATGTCCTTTCAGTGTGCCCCTAGCTCTTCTAGCCCCTTCAACTTATAGCCGATCTTAATACTTCAACCCATCTCTTCTTACGGGTGCCCTAGCTGGTCTTTTATGCATGTGATAAAACCATCTAACCATCTACTACACTATGAAACTAATTCTAATGTTAAAAAGAAACCTGAGTTCCTCACTTTTCATCCTTTGGCCCTCTAGTGTTGAATCACTTTGTAGTTTGCCAACATCAAATCATCTACCTACCTCCATTTGACCTTCTAAAACTAAAAAGCCTTGCAAGGAAAGATAAACCTCTCTAATTGATAAAAGAAAGATAAACCTCTCTATAGAAGACCACTTCCTAACTATTCATACCTTCTCTACATTTTTGCATTTGCATTTCAACCAAATACAGGTACTGTGGCTTCATTTTTTCTGATGAAAAGTTTTTTGGGCTCATTTATGAATGACCAATCAGATTCCTTATTATCACGAACTTAACAATCTTCCTATTATTGGTTCACACTTCACATTCTGTAAAAAGGATTTCAAAAGTAATAATACATGAAGATCCACAAAGTATTGCATGTACATTCAGATATACAATAGTATAGGTGCTTTCCACCCTTCTCCATGTCCCCTTAAAAAAATGATTTTAGTTATAGGCACAACCATGATTTACCATCAATACTAGTATCTCTAGAATAAGCATGTATTCGGCTTCTTATTTATTTTATTATGAATTTATTTTTGAATGGAAAAGGTAACTTTGATTGAAGCATTATATTAAGAGTGTTGACCCCTTAGTTTATCTCAATGTCTACAATACAGCCCAAAAGAGTATTTCCCTAAAGGTCCCCCTGCTTTGCCAAACTATCAGCTAGACCATTGGCTGATTTCCTGGACCACTTGAAGATTGCCCCCACTTCCCTTGCTAAGCAGAAAATTTCCCTCATTTAATGTTTATAATTCCAAGCCTCCAGGCTGTTTGTTTGCATCCAGCCTAATAGTAACTTAGAATCTCTTCAACCTCAAAGTTCTGCAGTCCCCAACGCTTAGTGAGCCTCAAGCCTTGAAGTAAAAGTCAGTACTTCACCTCTTAGTGAATCACCCACACCTATTGGTCCAGAATATAGTGCAATCGGTCTCCCCTCCTCATCTCTGAAAGCTCCCCCGACTTCAGAGGGACCTGGGTTACCCAAGGAGCTCCCATCAAAATTCAACTTTATCCTTTGTTGCGCTGAAGGTATCCAGTGCTCCTGAATCGCATTCTTTATAGTTGAAGAATTTGCCACTACAGCCCAACCTCTAATAATGTCCTCAACTAAGTAGTCTCAAATTCAAAATAGCTCAAGTGTTTTTAGCCGATGTATAATTCTGTTATTTCTTTCTCCCTAAATAGACCAGAGGATAGCCACTCTTGTGGCTCTCCACATTACCCTTCCCCTTTTCTTCGGTAGTCTAAAGAAATTTGGGTAAAAAGGCCTGCCACATCCAAAGGAAGGGTGTCCACCTGCAACCAACGAGAGACGGGAACCAATTCCAAACAAACGAAGCAAAAGTACAAGATAACAATAGGTGTGTAATTGTCTCACCACAGCCCAGGCAAAGGCTAAAAACATGAGGTGACATGCAGCAAATCGGCCTTCCTTTTTGAAACTTGTCCAAAGTATTAATCCTCTGGAGCACCACCTCCCAAACAAAAGCCCTTATTTTTGGAGGTACAGGGTTACACCAAACTTCCTTTCTGGAAAAAGATCATGCCGGGTTAGAAGACTGAAGAAGAGCAGTGACAAAAGGAGGAACAAGTAAAAGAACCAGAAGGGGACACCAGCCAGATTCTACTGTCCAAGCAAGATTGATCTAGATACATTGTACTCAGAAGCGAAATAAGGTCATCCACCAACCCCATTCAAATCCCATTCCCATAAACAGAGGAGATTATTCATCCTTTGTTTAGGGAGATGGCATAAATAGATGGGAATCTATCTTTAAGACAGGTATCACCAAACCAGACATCTTCCCAGAATAGTACTTTATTCCCTACACAAGCATCAAATCTGATATATGGAAGGAAAAGTGGTAAGACCACAACACCCTAGAGTTGAAACCAACATCCCAGCCATTGTTTGCCAAGCCATTAATACTTACAATCACTTTATGCCACAACTTATCCCGTTCCAAAGGCAATCTCCATAACCACCTTCCCAACAATGCAAGGTTCCTCAATCTGATATTTCCTATACCTAATCCCCCGCTATCCCTACTTCTAACCACCACCTCCCATTTCACCAAGTGGTCTTTCTTTGTGTCCCCTGGCTCCCATAGGAACTCCCTCATTATTTTCTCCAATTGATTGGCAAAGGTAGATAAATAATAAACTGGCCAAATTGATCAAAGTTGACTTTAGCAAGGCTATTCTTCCCCCTAAAGAGATGTAATTTCTCTTCCACCCTGCAAGCCTCTTTGAGAATCTTTCCAAAACTAGGTACTAGAAGCTTTTAGAGTTTGGGTTCCCCCCCAACGGTAACCCCAAGTAAAGTAATGGCCAGTCCCCTATCTCACAACCCAACAATCTAGTAAGGTTTTCCATCTCTTTTCCCTATTTATTAACTCCTACTACACAACTCTTACCCCAATTTATTTCCTCCCTCTCCCTTCACAAAAAACGACAAGGTTATCCGCAAATTGTAAATGTGTTACCACCAAACCTTCCCTCCCAACTCTCCAACCTTTAATGAAATTATCAGCATCAGCCTTTGAGATCAAATCACTCAAGATATTAGCAACTAGGGTGAAGAGGAAAGGGGAAAGAGGATCTCCTTGTTGGAGGTCCCTTCTAGCCAGGAAAAATAAAAATCCCTAGCTACTCCATTAACCAAGATTGAGTAGTGACAGGAGAAAATGCAACCCTTTATCCATTTACACCATCTCACTCCAAAACCCCTTCGTCTCAAGATTTCTAGTAAGAAATCCCAATCCACCAAGTCATAGGCTTTCTCCAAATCCAATCAACACACCAAGCCTTCTTCCTTTTTCCTCTTCTTGTAATCCACACACTCATTAGCGATAAGGATTTGATCAATTATTTGTCTCCCAAAAACAAAGGCACCTTGGTTTGGAAAATTAGGGAAGGACCAAAGGAAGGACTCTTTCTATCCTCTTAGCCAATGCCTTCGAAATAATTTTGTACATGCTTCCCACTATCTGATAGGTCTAACTTCCTTTTGTTGGATTGCATCCTCCTTCTTAGGAATTAAAGCAATAAACGTCACATTAGCTCCCGAGTTTTTTGAGAGGGGTAAATGCATTTGGCTTCTTATGGTAACTTTAGTTCAGCCATCATCTCAGTCAGTGTTGAGGTACACTATTAATTTTGACGGACTTGACTTTTTTATGAATGGAAGTTTGCCTGAAAACTACAACAAGCCGCATACTGACTTTTTGACCTTCCAATATTTCTGTTTCCCCTATCATTCATCCCTTTGTGGGCCCTGTGGCTACTGTCTTGGCCTCATTAATGCTGGCAAGCTGATAATATACAGTTTATACACTGGAACATAGCTGTCAAAATCTTACAATTTGAAGATTTTAATACAACTCACAAATTGAATTGTGAATCCCAAGGGTTCCAATTAACATCTACTATCTGAATCCTTTTCTCAGAAAATATTACAATTACTGTCTAAATCTTACAATTCATTCAATTCGAGTAAATTAAATTTGGACCTGGTTCTCAAATTTGTATTCTCTTTTTCAGGAGATCTGTGCTTTAAAATCTTGCTAGATTAATTCTTATTTGAGTTAAACCTATTTGAAGACATTTAAGAATATCAGTTTATTTTCCATCATATGTAATATGATATGATGACCAGATATGGATCTCAAACGGACACAGATCAAGATATGGGGATGCAACTATCCATTTCCTAAGATCCCAGATATGGGATATGGATGCAATTATACTATTTAATATGCTTATACCATGGTTCTATATCTAGTTTGTCTTTTTGAAGTCGTGACACTTCAATATTGCCAAATTTAATTCAACTTCCAAGATATACATATATTTTATAGTATTATTTGTTAAAACACACCATTTTACATATTTCAGAAGTATTAAAAAAAGAAAGTATACTCTAGAAGCATCAATACATTATCTAGTGTCAAATAGGATATGTATTGTGCCTGACACGGATAACTCATCCTAGAGTATTTCTAGATCCCTTTGGAGTGATTCCTTGGGTTTTCTCCATCTTTCTCTATCCTCTTCTTCAAGATATTAAGAACTACTGCAGCCATTTTAGATCCAATAAAGATCAAGAGTCAAGACCATCCAGAATTCAGATCATCCAGATCAAATAAACCACCCCCCTTATAATTCCAGACCATCCAGATCCTCAATCAAACTAAACCACCCTCTCTGGCACAAATAAACCTACAAAGTTTCCCATAGAACTCATGTTATTGAAGTTTCTTGCTTTGTCTCTCGAGAATGCCTGAAATTTCTGAGAATTCAGACCAAATCCCTTCATTTTTATTTTAAAATAGCAAGCTATCCAACTGAGTTTTCACTTTGAAGAACCTTTTTCCCTATTCAGCCCTACAGGGACTATAACTTGCCACAACAATATTACTGAGTATTACACAAATAGTTTGCACTTGGTAGAACAGCCAGATCTGCTTAAAGTCCAAGAGCACAAGGGTCAACGAACTACAGATCCCTCATTGGGTAATGGAGGTCAATACCAATAAGTATCTGATGAACCTTTGAAAGAATCCAATAAAGCCATATAGACAGAAAATTAACACTAGAGATACTGTAAGCCAAGTAAAATTAAATTTTAGGAGGTATTGAGAACATACTGTTTGGGTTCATGTTTTGATTGATCAAGAGGGCCCCAGAAGAAATCATCTTCCAACTTGGACTTTGACTGAGCCAAAGTAAGGGAACTAGTCTGTACAGGAGATGCAACCTTAGATGGAGATGATCCAGAAAGTGACCATGAAGAACCATTTCCACGGGTACCCCGGGTTGGCTGAGGTTTTTGTGGAGTCGGAATCTGGATTTGGTGCTGGGCAGAAGACACCTTTTTCTCTTGTTCTTTCTGAATTTCCCTCAAAGATGTGGGCTTAGTAAGCTTCCCCGAGTCAGTAGACCAAGCTGGAGCAGGTGGAGGATTTGTGGCTTCCCCCTTCCAAAAGACAAAATCTCCTAAAGAAGGACCGGTTGGTGGAGCAGGTAATACATCCTTCTCCAACTGTACCTGACGAGAACTTTTTGCTTTCTCAATAGGACTTGATGCAACAGAGACATCAGAAGAAGCAACAGGAGTCTTAACTCCAACACCTTTGCCCTTTGCAGACTTTTTACGGTTCTTTTTAGTGTCTTTCGCCTCAATAAAGTCATCATAATCAACCAAATCCATTTGGGTAGTAGTAACTACTAATGAAGGCAACTTAGACAAATTGTCAGACACATCTGAAGCTTCTTCATTAGACTTTGCCAAAACTTCTTCTGCCAATAGATCATGCAACTGACTCTTCTTACTCTTCAGATTCATAGCATTTCCAGAGCTCCCAGCAACAGGTTGTGCACCGACAGAATCTTGATAATAATCTCTAACAATCTTAGGCTCTGTATTAGTCAGAACCTCAGCCCAAGCGGTTAAGGAACTCATGGAGTTAACAGATGTGGCAATCTCAGAAACAGCTACTTCCATCTGTGCCTTCCTTTGCTCTTCCTGTTGTATCTCCAAGAGTGACTTTGGCTTTAGACCAGGAGCAGGTTTCCAAGATCTATGACTTGAATTTGTTTGTGTGCTTTGCAAAGACAAAGATTCAATGTTTTTTCCTTCACCATTGCTATCAACAGAAAAGATTTCATTACTAGAAATGCTTTTAGGTAATGAGCTTTTAGCTTCTTGTGAGCCCATTATTTCTATGGCAGATTTCCCAGTTCCATCATCTCCTGTTTTAGCCAATGATGTCCCATGGAGACTTTCTTGTGCATCCATGTCTGCCTCAAATTTTATGTCCAGAAGTTGTGTTCCCTCACCTTCAGATTGCTTCAACTGTGGCAAAGGAGATAATTTGGGCATTTCCTTGGCTTGCCCTGATGAGGCTTGAGCTTTTGCAGCCTTTTGTTTTCTGGACTTCTTCTCAGAATTTTTCTTTGTCTCACGTGCTTCAATATTTTTTACTTCTTTTGCCTTGGGAGACCCACTTTCAAATAGTTCTTTCTGTACCTGAGGTTCTTCAAGAACACCTGACACCACATCCATATCCTTGTTTTGTTTGAGCATATAATTTTCATCTTTGCCATTGTATGGTGATGGTACATTGGGATGAGTTCCTACATAAATTGGAGGTACAGAACTTGCATCAGCTTCAGTATTAAGAACTGCAACAGGTTCATCAATTGCGTGAATATTCTGAGACATCTGCTCTTCAGCTACAGAGGCACAGTTGTCTGAAAAGTGCCCATTTTTCTGCAGAAAAGCAGGCTCATCTGGAGGCTCTTCCATAACCTTAGTTAAGGATGAACCATCTTCCATCCTTTGCACCAATCGTGAATCATTTTGTTGAATACTATCAATCTGTTCTGAACAAGTAGCGTCCCAACCTTTCAGAGAGGTTGTACTATCAAGAATGTGATGCGGTAGGTGAAGAGAAGATGCATCACAACTACTAGTGTAACCAACATTCTGTGAAGGTTGTGAAGGTTGTGAAGGCAAGGTAGCAAAGTTAGATGTTTGACTATCTTGTAAATTGGACACTGGTATCTGTGAATTAATCAGAAGCACCTCACGTGGAGACTTAAGCCCAACATGCTCAACTGGAGCATTTCCTGCTGGCATAGCAGCTGCCTGGATATTTGCATATGGATCCACAAAGTGCTGACGGGACTGATGCTCAGATAAAACCTGAGAAAGAAGATGCTGTTGCTGCCGCAAAATTTTCTGTTCTTCTTCCTGTTTCTGTTGTTGTTTAAGTAATAAGAATTTCTCCAGAAGGGACAATTGTGTGGGAACAGGTGCCTGTGATTGTAACTGAAGTTGGGACAACATGTACTGTTGTTGCAATATAGCTAACATTTGTGGATCTTGAGAGATACCAGAAGACAGAAGTTTATCAGGGGCTACAATGCCAGAAGAATGATCTACAGTTTGAGTAATTAGATTTGATAAAGATAGCTGATTCTGTTGCTGTAGTCTCTGCTGTTGAATCCCAAATGCAGCTTGTGGAGGGAAATGCTGATTATGATGCAAGTCCAACTTATCCTGGCGCATGTCCAAACCACCTTGAACAGGAAAATTTGACCAACCAGCAACTCCATTATTGACACCAGAAGATGACTTGTCGGACGAACCTTGTAGCATAGATAGCAAGTCCACATTCTGAAGATGAGGAATTTGATGATTGTTATCTACCACTGGAGAATGGAGCTTTGCATTTGGTGAAGGAGAATCAGGGATGATCTCCGCCTTTGACACCATGGATGAAGCATCTCTTCCTGTCCAATATGTATGAGGATTCGGTAGAGATCTCTGCTGTTCCAGAGACATTCTCTGGGACAAAAGGTAATTTAGGTCATTTCCATTTTCTACTCTCATCAGGGGCAGTGCACCAGAATTATTCCCAATATATCCCTGCATACCTACAAATAAAAAAAAAAATAAAAAATAAAGAACCTCCTCTCTAGGAAGATAGATGCAGCAAAACAAATTCTGTAGGGCATAATAATAAAAGCTCCAGACAGGCAACAACATAAAAAACATCAATTTTAACGAAGAACCAACCTTCAGAGAAAGAAAACTTCTCCAGTGGGGAACTTTTCATGGTACCAGACATGAGTGATTCCAAGAATTTGTTCTCGGCCCCAGTCATCGACTCCTGTCTATTCCTTGGCTCATTCTTTACAGTATCAATCTCACCTGAACCCATGTGAAGCTTTTCAAGGCTACCAAACTTTGGCCTACTCAATGTTTCTGAAACTTCATTCTGTTTTGGTGCATTGAATCCTGGTGGGGGCCTTGCTTTCGCTCGCAAATGTGGCATGACATCCCCAAGCAATGAGAAAGAAGCATCAGGTGGAGCATTTGCTAAGCGAACCTGCAAATCTATGCCAAAATATCCAGCCTCAAACCATCCAATAAGATCAAAACCAGAGAAAGGGCCTTGAATTTCGCCTTGTGGATCTTTGTAGTACAGGGATAATTCCTCTGGAGATGGCTGTAGCAGAAACTTTCTGCCTTCCCGTTCCTTGTCTAGGACTTCAGATGGTTGTCTTTTGACAATGGAATCACGGCCAATATCCGTATGAAAACCCTCACCAACTTGCCAGTTTGGTTCATCTTTATAGTAAGATGATGGAAGCTTAGAATTGTTCTCCCATTCTGTACTCTGATCCTTCTGTGGATGTGACCAGCCCACATCTGAGCTTCTTGACCTGACCTCAGTTGGGAAATCTCTATTATCATGCAATGGGATATGTGAGCCTTCACCCAGTGACTGAGATCTCCATGGGACACTTGGATGAATGGAAGAATTTCCCTGGGCATTCACTTCGCTACAAACTCCAACCTCATCAGCTTTCTTGTTGGGAATGCCATCTTCTCTATACACTGCATAAGGAGTACCTAGAGGGTGCATAAAAAAGAACCAGTAACTACTTGCAAAAAAACAGCAATCACCAATTCACCATTATCATGTTGAAAAAATAACAAAGTAGAAAGTGTATGAGAAAAATGTAGAAAGGACAGGGTTTCCACGCTAGAAATAGTCATGGAGAACATAGATGTAGTACCTTCTCCAATGAACTTGTTATCATGATATGCCTGAAGTCTCTGAATTGTTTCTGACTTTGAGTTAGAATCATATGGGTGCTTGAACTTTTCATGGGAATGACTCTCAGAATAATCAAAATGGACACTTTTTGACTTGTCAGCACTATCATCTTTGTAATTGTCAATCTCAGATGGTAAATACTCTCTACTACCTGCTCAAACGAAAGTATACACCAAAGAAATCAACATGACCAAATTTTCACAATCTACTACATATACAAATTTGCACATGTGTCATGAATAAATGAAATACCAAGCTTTCTTCTAGGTTGCATGACATCTGTAGAATTCCGCCCAACGGAACCATCTTTAGGAGCCGAAGCAGTACCACTAGTTACTATATCCCCCTTGTCAATTCCTTTCAAGATAACCTACTCAAACAGAAATGCAATTATCAACTGTAAACAACTGGGCAAACTTTACTAAGGAAAACTGTAAATTAGATTACCAATTCCTCCGGAGTAGGAGCAGAAAATGCAAGAGGTTCCAGTGGCTCCAACTGTGTAAGAGAAGGCACTTCTATAAACCCGTCTAATGGCTTTCTATAAGACCTCACATCAATCATCCTGTATAGATCTAACATTTTGTTCCTACTATATCTTAAAAAGGACGTGTCTCCATGCATACTTTCACTCTTGTCTGACACAGAACCTAAAGAATGAGAATAAGATATGCTGTTCACAGGACTTCCTGCAGAGCTGACCCTTCCACGGCCAACAGAAAAGGTTGAAGAGGAATTTTCTCCCCTCCCCCTAATGTAGCCAAAAGTAGGACTTTGCTTGCTAGGTGTTAAAGTTTGGTGATTAGAATCTACTTTTCCTCGACCTTGGGAGGCGTTAGATCGCCATGACCGATAGTAATCCCCCTCCCTGTCCTCCTTGCCATGATTTGTTAGATGTGAAAATCCTTTATCACGAGGAGCATCACCATCTCTGTTAGAATCCATCCACTTCTCACGCCTACTGTCTGACTCCTTATCTTCGGGCCCCCAGCGTGTGTTCCATTTGCTCTCACGGCGTTGCTCATAATTACTTTCCTTGTTATTCAAATCAGCCCACCGTTCAGATGGGCCACRGCGTGCTTCCCCAGCATGTCTAGCAGAAGGGTTTTCAGTCCACCTATCCATCTTGCAGGTATCACCAAGCTCTTTCTCCCCCTCCCTCCAACGATCTCTGCGGACAAAGGAGTTGGTGTCTCGTTCTTCATCACGCCAGTGGTCGCGATGACCAGATTCAGTGTCATGCAAAGTTGGCCTGAAAACATCCCTTTTCTTTTCAGTATCACTAATTTCCTCTCCATTTCCAAATGATTTAGAGATATCTGCACGAGTGATATAACCTGGACCTGGACTAATATGCGATTCCTGTATGATAGACAAACAGAAAGTATAACTTCTTAAGTAGTATTATGATGAATAAGCATTTAGATACAGATAATGGGATAGTACACAGCATATATCTACAAGTTCATTTAAATTCATGCATGCTAAGAAGTTGAGAATTAAAAGATGACAACCAGGGAATAGCTCACCCCAGTCACTGTTCCAGGCTTATTCTCCACAGGCTTTGACAAAAGCCATTGAGGTGAAAGAGGGATAGGGTTATCAGATCCTTGCACATCTACAAAAGCCAAAACAGAAAGATGAATGCATAATTTCATCTATATAGGCACAAACAAGTTGGTGTTAAGAAGAAAGGAGCCAGCTAGCATTTGTTGATGCAATTGTATTTACCAAGTACCACAAGTACTTAAGTAGATGGGGTTTTCCCTTCCACTTAAAATGAAAAACAGATAATACTACCGTAATTTATGAATATTTAGGCCAACCATACAGCCATATGTTAAAACAGAGGCTTTGAAAGATATACTTGTCATCTCATGAAGTCAGGGATCCACCTAGGTAGGGCTGTGAAAGCATTGAGTTTCAATTGTATATGCCTAAATCTGAATTTAAGCCAATTAACATTGGAATTGAATCAAATTATCAAATCATATTTGGGTTGTATTCAGATATGAGACCACCAGATGTGAACAATTTTTTTATGGCTATGTCACACATGAATTTATGATTTTGATTTGAATGAATAGAAAACCACAAAAAGAGGTACATTTCATCCATCTTTGGGACCTCTATTACCACAAGTCGCCAACTAGGCAACAAGGCACTTGCTTGCTGCCCTACCGCTTTGATTACATTTTTTTTTTGATAATTGAAGTTAGATTTCATCAATTCTGAAAATATAATCATTACAAGCATCCCTTAGAGAGGTACGAGATGCTACCCTCTAAAAAAACAGAAAAATTACAAGTGAGCCCAAAACAAAGATTGTCTATTCACCCCTAGCTTGGTTACAGTATCAACTAACCCATTTGCCGATCTCCTCACCCATTGTATCCTCAAATTCATATTCTTGGTGATCCAATAAGAACCTTTTTAATTCATCCCTATAGCACCATACCACAGATTCTGTATCCTTTAACCAACCCACCACCAATTTTGAGTCCCCTTCAATCACCAAATTGGTTATGTTCAGCTCATTTGCAATTTGTACTCCTTGTAAGGCTGCAAGCAATTCTACCTTGAGAGAATCCCCATACCCCAGTGGACCAGAAAACAAGGCTATTAATTTGCCTTCCATATCTCTCACGATCCTTCCTACACCAGCAGGTCCTGGATTCCCCCATACCCCAATGGAAAGTTAAGTGTTAAATCTGCCTATTGGGTAGCAAAAAATCAAGTTCTTTTTTTTTATCAATAACTCTGAAAATTTTCATTAATTAAGATGCTTTAGGATACAACAAGAAGTTGCAAAGATATCAGCATAGAAGCTGATGTCCCTTTGGTGCATCAAGAAGTTGCAAAAAATCAAGTTGCCTCTACTCTTAGATCTCCCTTTGGTGCAGGTGCAGTGGAGAAAAGCATTGGAAAGAAATTTAGAAACTAAGACTGTGTTTGGTTTAAAGGAAAAAGTAGGGAAAGGAAGAGAAAGGTAGGGAAGCCTTTATAAACCTTGTATAGGTTTCCCTATCCTTCCCTTCCTTTCCCTATCTTTTCCTTCAAACCAAACATAGCCTGAATGTGACCCCAAAATTAAAAAAAAAAAAAAGAAAAAAAAACTTCTTATGGAGGTCTGTCTATGGAATGGACTGGCAGCAAACTCAAATCTAGTTAAAAAAAAGGGGGCTGATATCTCAGTTGTCTGTCTCATCTGTAAGAAAGAGGAAGAAACAATTCCTCATGCACTGTTATTCTACAATCATGCAAAAGCTTGCAGAGTTTCTGCACTTGGTAGCCCAGCTAGTTTTGCAAAGTGGATCTGTTTGTGGTTGGAAATTAGCAAAAATCAATTAAACCAAACCCCAAACTGTATCCCCAATTCTGTTGTCATTTTGTAGGTCATCTGGAAATCTACAAATAATTTTACTTTTAAAAATACTGATCCAGATCCTAGCTGGGAAATTTCTTGTGTTGATGAAGGAGATGAGCATGATTTCCACTCAAGGATGGTGACCATCTTCTCAGACATCTGATCCAGTAGCCCGATGATTTTTTTGGACCCCTCCTGACATAGGTTGTGTAAAGGTCAATACTGATGGAAGCTTTTCGGCCTCTAGTGTTTGAGACTCCAGTGGAAAAGTGCTTGTTGCTTCTTTTTGGCTCATCCGAAGCCCAATCCCCCATCCAAGCAGAAGCTTCAGTTGTTCTTAAAGGGTTGGATCTAGTTGGGGCTATTCAATCCCAGAACCTAGTTTTTGAAAGTGATTGTTCAAATTTGGTCTCAGCTTTAATCTATAGAGATGTTGCAGGAGCTAGAGATGTGTTTTAGTGCCATGACATTATGGAAAAAATTCGCTCTACTCCAATGTTTTTTAGCTTTGTAAATAGAAGTGCTAATAGGGTAGCCATGAGCTGGCAAAAAAAGGACTTCGAGGGTTGGGTTTCTTTACTTTCAGTTCCTAGTTGGATTCAGAACTATGCTGACAAGGATCTATCTGATCCATAGTTGTTAATGTTGATTATGTGCTTTCCTTTTAATATATATTTCTTTTATACAAAAAAAAAATTGACACAGTTCATTTTGCCTCATAGGTAAGGGTGGATTTGAGCAGAGCTAAGCTGAATACCTGGCTATACGAGCTCAGCTTGCCAAAACAATGCCAGGCTCGATTCAAACTAGAGACTTGAACTTGAATTCAGCTTGGCTTAAAAGTTTGCAAGCTTGAGCTTGATTCAAGCTAGAGAGTTGAACTTGAACTCAGCTCGACTCAAAAGCTCACAAGTTCGAGCTTAGCTTGGCTCGAGCTCAACTATGAGGCAAGCTTCTTATAAAAAATAAAAATTATACATATAAAAATAAATTTTTATTTTACACACAAAAAAATAAGAATTATAAAAACTATTTATTATTATGAATAAAAATAATAATATTATTATATGTATATAATAAAAATTATTATGTATGTATACATCTATACTACTTATAAAATTGTGAATGAGGAGGTATTGGCTTCTATAATTTTTCTTTACTCAAATATCCCTCCTCTTGAATTTAGTTCATCTCCATTAAAAGGGCAGAGAATGTAATTAAAAGAATACCATTAAGTACATTCAATTACCTCTCATTAAGTCCCACATTTAAGTCATTAAATAAATCACATTCTCTCTCATTGAATGCAACATTTATACTTTTCTTTATCATCATTAAATTCCACTAATAAATCCTCGCACAATAAGTATTAATAGAATGACATTTTATATTTTTATAATAAACATAGAAATGAAATCATATTTTTCATCTAAGTGGTGGGTAAGTAGTTCAACCATTTGGGTCAAATGGATAATTTCATGATGTTATAAATAAATAATACAAACTTAGAAATATAAAAAATACTTTTGTTTATCATGATTAAATTCCACTAATAAATCCATACACAATAATTATTAATAGAATGAAATTTTATATTTTTAAAATAAACCAAGAAAATTAATCATATTTTCCATCTATGTCGTGGGTAAGTACTTCAACCATTTGGGTCAAATGGATAATTTCATGATGTCATAAATAAACAATACAAATTTATAAATATAAAAAATACAAAAAATATAAAAAAAAATGAACACGTTTCTATTATTATATATTTGTCATATTAAAAAGTAAGTATGATAAAATACACATAATTTTATTAATGATGGACATCAAATATACAACTTAAAACCGATGGGAAATTAAACCATCTTCTTATCTAGGGGGTGGGTTAGTGGTTCAACCTTTCAAGTCAAATAGGTTAACCCATGATGTATAATTAAAAATAATTTTTTTTAAAATAGAATAGTACGAAAAAATATGAAACAATTTTGGGCACATATATAATATTATATACTAATAATGTAAACAAAAATAAGTATGATGAACAATAATTATTTTATCAATGATATAAATGAAATTCAAAATTTAAAACCAGTTTGAAAATAAAACCATTTCCATATCTAGATGGTAGGCAGGTCAATGATCTAATACTCCAGGTCAAATGGGCCAATCTTGGATGTCATAACTAAGTAACGAATATTAAATAAGCATTTAGATACAGTTTTATTGTTATATATTCACCGTATTAAACAACAATAAATGTGAAAATAAGAATTACTTTTATCGATGATGAAAATGGAATACATGATTTAAAATCAACCGAAAAAGCAAAATGGTTTTTCCATCCAAGTGGTGGGTTAGTGGTTAAACTATCCATGTCAAATGGATCAACACATGATGTTATTATTAAATAATAAAATACATAAAATTCTAGAAAATGTAGAAATTTGTCAATAATTTTGGGTATATTGTATAATATTATATACTCATCATATAAAAAAGTGTGATTAATGAGAATTATTTTCATTAACGATAGAAATGGAACAAAAATTAGGATAAAAAATAAAGAGCATTAATATCTAACACATGACCCGACTAACCATGTCAAATGGATGCAAACAGATCATATCATATTTGAATCGGAGTATATATTCAAATCTGCTATGATCCAAAGATCCAATTGGATCTCATAAATATTGATTCGAATCCAGATCCGATCAAGAATCTGGATATTTGAATATGATACGACCCGATTTAATTTAAAAAATAATAATAAATTATTAAAAGAAAAAGAAAATATAACAATTGAAATAAACAAACAAAAAATATAAGTATTTTTTCAACTATTTCCATCATATAAAAAATTTACAAAAATGCAATATAAATAATATATTTATAAATAAATAATAAATAACACATATTATATATAAATAATATATATATAAATAATTGATTTGGCCACAATATTAAAAACCAGTGTTCAAACAATATATTGGAATTGCATTTCCTCTTGGTAAATAAGTAACTTTTATTATCGCAAATTAAATAAAAAAATATAGATTTTTTTTTAAATATTATAAAAAAATTAACATACATTAACATTATATATCCTTCATATATTAAACAAAAATATGTTTGAAAAAATGAGAATAATAAAGATAGAAATGGCTAAACTACAATGGAAAAAATGATTTAATGTCTTAATCATATTCCATTTTCCTGATTAAATAGGTTAACGGTTCAACTAGTAAGGTCATTTGGTTGTTGATTATTATCATCATCATCATTTGATACTACCACGTGCAAAAATAAATGCGAAAATAAGAATTACTTTTATTGATGACGAAAATGGAATACATGATTTAAATAATAAAATACATGGTGTTATTGTTAAATAACATATATATTATATATAAATGATATATATATAAATAATTGATTTGACCACAATATTAAAAACTAATATTCAAATAATATATTGGAATTGCATTTCCTCTTGGTAACTAAGTAATTTTTATTATCTCATAAATTAAATAATAAAAAATAAAAATATAGAATTTTTGATAAATTTTATAGAAAAATTTGAACATGCATTAATATTATATATTCTTCATATTAAACAAAAATATGTTTGAAAAATAGGAATTATTGTTAGTAAAGAGACAAATGGCTAAAATACAAAAAAAAATAATTAGTGTCGTAATTATAGTACATTTTCTTGGTTAAATAGGTTAATGGTTCAACCAGTAAGATCATTTGGTTGCAGACTATTATCATCATCATCATTTGATATTGCCACGTGCAACGCGCGTGCACTTTTACTGATATATTAAGCTCGATTAAGCTCATGAGCCTCATGAGACAAGCTTCACTGTACTTGAGATTGGATCAATTAGCAAACGAGCCTATATATTGGGCTCGAAGCTCGGTTTAAGTCGAGCTTTTCACGAGTTGAGCTCAAATAGCTAGTGAAAATTTCGATTCATTTCCACCCCTACTCATAGCAAAGGAATTAAGCAAGTACCAAGTAGTATCTTTTAGCATAGTCATTGAGCTAGGTTGTGTTTATTTTTGGGTTTTACTTTATTCTGTTTAATGGCTTATTTTACTTTATCTATACGACAACCAAACAAAATAAGATATAATTTTAAACAAAAATAAAATCCGAATTTGCACCCAAAATCATTTGTATTATCGTAGTTTCACATTAGTGCAAATAGAATTGTACCGTAACCAAATGCATCCTACAATGCAAAACACCCTACTATTAACTGGGAACCCAACTATTACTACTAAAACACAAAACACCCTACTATTACCTTAGCCACCATGTGTGTCAACTATAGTCATTACCAAATTGACAAGTTCCTTTCTAATACCTATCATGACAGAGATGTGTATAACTCTTTAACTTTTTTTTTCTTTCCAAGGATAACTTTAAAACAATTTTATTAAGTTGGGGTGAAAGAATTTTATATACAAACAGTTTAGTGAGCAGTGACTTGCATCCTACTTGCTACATTTAGGCCAGTCAGTGATACCCGAAAATCCAAGGCCCAATTCGACACCCGATCTGATTATCTCAGATTCGGATTATGCATTTACGTAATCAAACCGGATTCGGATGTTACAATCTACGTCTGATTAATAATCGGATCATATTCGAATTTGACCTCATCTGATCCGATTAGAATCTGGATCCAATTATATTATAATATTTATTGATTTTAATATATAAGTTTTATATAATTATATTTAAAGTTATAAAAAATATATTCTATATATTATATTATATATGAAGTTATAATATAATAAATATGAATTTATATATATATAATAAATTCAGTATGTTATATTTAAATTAATTTATTATATATGAAAGTTGAAAAGTAATTAAATTTTAATTTTTTTGGTATTTTAACAAATTAAAACAGAATCAGATTAAATCTGAATCCGATTCTAGTCTGTTAGGACTCGAATTTGAATTCGAGGTCTTTAAATCTGATTGGATTTCGGATCGGATTCGGATTTTGCTGAATTTGATCCGAGTCCAATCCGATTACAGCCCTAGCTACATTGGGTAGCACACATCCTACCATTTTTTTCCTTTGATGTTGTTGTTCTGTGCCAGTTATCCATTTGGGATAACATATTCTCTTCTATAATTTAATGAAATACATTCTGTTCATCATCAGGAAAAGAATCATGCCAAATACCTGGATCAGTCTTGGACAAATCTCAGGCAAGAGCCTTATAGATGATTCCGACTAAACTGACCAACCAATTAATCTTTAATATCCAGTCACATATACAATCTTATGTTTTAGTCTCCACTAGGAATTAGGACTACAAAAGTCATGTTCACATTTTATAAAAGACATTCTCAAATTTTATATTTACTCTCCATTGAGATTTCTTCTTTGACAAATAGAGCCACTCAGATTTCTTTTGTTTCCCTTGTTGATGTTTTGTTTTTTTCTTTTTCCATTTTTTTTTATCTAGATACGTAAATCTTGGAAACAGCCTCTCTGTGTATCTTCAGAGGTAAGGCTGCATACATCTCTCCCTTCCAAGACCCCGCATTGGCAGGAGCCTCATGAACGGGGCTGCCCTTATCTAGACATAAAACAGTGCCAAACTCATATTTATCACAAGACATACTATCCTACAAACTAATCCAAGGAAAACCCAGTAAGATTGTCCAACAGTTACTTGTAGAAGCAATATGTCAGTAAATTCAATGACCAAACTGGACCAAAGAGCAGTGACATAGAGCAAATTAAGCTTAATATCTTTAAGCTGATTACAGGAAATACTGAAAACAATATTACAAACAAAAAAGTCATAAGCATAAAGAAGAGATAATTTGAGATGATGATTAAGAAACAGTAAGAGAATGGGAACCCAGATGTAAATAGCATAACATGGACAAATAAATGCAATGAATAAACTATTTCCAAATTCAAATGTGGATGTACATGAAATGTTTTCCCTTCCAATAGTTTCATATATTTTCCTTACACTAGGAGGAAAAAAAAAAACTAGGATTACTATATGTAATTAGGTACAATCTTATGTCTGTCACAGAAACAAAAAGAACCTAATTAACATGTACCAGAATTTAATTAAAGTAATAATTAAACTGTCTATTTTAATGAGAACTTGATACAATGTTTTCTGATAAAAATTTTCATTCATGTCATATGCCTGCATTAAGTGCACTGTCAAGGCAGATATAATACAGAATCCACAATAGCACAGACAGTTGTTATCATAAAACATCATATAACAGTAAATGCCTATGAATGGGAAAAAAATTGATCTGAATTCCAAAATGTGGATAAAATAAAATTTTTTCCACTTTCAAATCCTGAATCAACAATGATAATAAATGACTCAAAAACACACCACAAAAATGGCAAATCATGTGATGAATCGGAAACAAAGAGACAGTAACAAATCATGTGAAGCACAGGCTTCCCTTTCAAAAGATTGGTATTGTCACCTCTAAACAAGGATCCTAAGGAGAAGTTAAAATTCTGGAAGATCTTGGTGAAACTAGGTTCAAGATGGTGCAATGCCAGTTTGAGATTCTAAAATAGTTAAGTGTCAAAGGCAAATTAAATCCAATAAATGTCACTCAACTCAATCCAAGTCATCCATTCAATTCAACTGAATAAAAGTCACATATCTCAGTGCTGACCAGGTTGAATGCCAAAACCAAGATTTATTTGTGCTACTTTCTTTGACCCAGATTCCATAAAAGTTTTTTGCATCTCGATTAACTTTAACAACTTATCCCAACCTTGATCTTAAAGTTCATGAGATAGGACAGTAGTTAAATGATTCCCTGGCTGTAGTCCCAAAGAAGGAAGGATAATCCAATAATGAACTCCAGCAAGCCTAAATTTGACTCATCCATGAGGGAAGCCCCGTAAGTAGTTAGTAGCCTCAAGACTCACAAATATGGAAATAACCATGAATGGCCTTTTCTCTGCCAAGCATGCTAATTCATTATGCCTGTGTGCATAAGATTGGCAAACATAAGGCCGACACATATTACATATATATATATATATATATATATATATATATAATCAGTATGTCACCTCTACATCTAAAGGAATATCAGAAAAGTGCCCCTGGAACCAAATGATTCTTAGATGATAATGGCGATGGTGATGCTAAATTTGCGGGAAAGATATAATTTTGGTAAAATACTAGGGCGCTAACATATCGAGGCTTGGCAGAAGAAAAATGAACCACGCCAGCAGACTATAAGCTGAAAACGCATAACAGCTACTTACCATACACCAACATAGGAACAAAGCCAATCAACCAAATTTATTAAGAATCAAAGGGAGAGAACGGTAAGTGAAACGATCGAAATTAAATAAATGCGACAAAGATGGAAAATGGAAATAAACAACAAAAACTAAATTTTGAGTTGGAATGCGAAGCCCAAAATATGGAAACTCCCAAGACACACAACCGAAACTCGTTTGGGTCCCTGCAACCACTGAGCTCTGATATAGGTCTAGACAAAATGGAACTCGTGGCTGAAAAATGTATAATGCAACTAGGGTTTTTAATCTTTATCCGGAACTATAGATAGATAGACAAACTATAATACAAAAATCGAGTGAAAGTTTTCAGGTCCGACGAGATAGTCAAGAACAACAACGAAAAAAAAAACAGAAAAAAAGAAGAATGACAAAGAGAAAAAATTTGAAGACAGTACCTTTGGGAATCTGCTGAAGAGTGTTGACAGAGAGGTGACTGCGAACATCGGCATTGTTTCTACCCGCCATGATTGATGAACAACAGTTCGGAAGACGCCAAGAGGGGTGAGGGAGGAAAAAATAACCTTTTTTTATCGACTACTTTGTTCGTTCGGAGGCACGAGAGAGGGAGAGAGCGCAATTGAGGGTAAGGAGGATTATAGGTATGAGGGTGAAGCAAAATAAAAAGCGGATACCGCCATACTGGGCAGATGAAAAAATGTGACAGTTCACAAATCGGCTTACGTTAGCGAACAGCGGAGTTCTCGTTTGACAAAACGAGTTGAGATCTTCTGCCAACAATGCACGTTCCAACACTCTACTAACTTAATCTAACATCGCACATCTCACCATGGATTGGAACCCACTAAGAATGGGACCCGCCATGTGTGACATATGCGGTATAAGATGATGTTGGTAGAGGCATGGAACGTATTTTGTTCGCAGGTGATCCAGATTCTGACAAAACACGGCTGCGTACGATTTTCAATTTTCGCTTAGTTGAGTTAGTTACGGCGTGGGATCAAACCCGCGTAAATGCGAGACCGGATCTGCTCCTTACACTTGGCGCCTCACACATCTTATCATACATCGCAAACATCTTTCGTACTTATTTATTATTATTCACGGAAGATATTTTTAATGCACGGTGGATATGCATGTGAGGCGCTGATTTGTGAGTAGCAGATCCCATCACCGTAAATGCTGGCTTTCCGTGGCAACTGGCAAGGGTAGTGAGCAGTGGATCTCTTAGGCACATGCTTTGTTATCGGTTGGAAACCCAAATCCAACTTATCGAACTCCAATCGGATTCGATGATTCTAAACCCCAATTTGACGCAATCAAGTCCTCATTCCACTCTCTTCTTTCATATGGAGCACCTTTGGGTGGGGGTGGTGGGGGGAATTACTGAAAGGATCGTAAAAATCCCTCAGGCTGCAAGCCAATGGAGGGACAAACTTTGTTGGACATTTAGGCTGCGTTTGGAAAAGATGCAAATAGAGTGTAATCTCAGTTCATGGAAAATTTGCATTCTGGTCCATTTTTATTTGTATTTGACTATTATATTTATGCATTGACAAATGATAAACCAATGCATATTTACATTGATAATAAGATCTAAAAGTACATCAATAAAAAATAAGTAAATTTGCATTCAGGTGGGCTTTTGATAAAAAAAACATATGCTTTATTGGAATTCATGTTTGCATCCATTATAGTTAAAAGTCTGTTTAGTAAGAGGGTAAATCTGTCAATGCAAACTAACCCAATTTTACAATTTATATAATCCGTTTTACACTCTATATATTTGCATTCACACTTATTTGCATCGTTTCCAAACACAGGCTCACTGAAAATGGAAAGTTCAGTGTTAAATCTGCCTATTGGGTAGCAGAAAATCAAGTTGCCTCTACTCTTATATCTCCCTTTGGTTTAGGTGCAGTGGAGAAAAGCATTGGAAAGTAATTTAGAAACTAAAACTGTGTTTGGTTTGAAGAAAAAAGTAGGGAAAGGAAGAGAAAGGTAGGGAAACCTTTATAAACCTTGTATAGGTTTCCCTATCTTTCCCTTCTTTTTCCTACCTTTTTCCTTCAAATCAAACATATAGCCTATGCGACCCCAAAATTAAAAAAAAAAAAAAAAAAAACTTCTTGTGGGGGGTGTGTCTATGGAATGGACTGGCAGCAAACTCAAATATAGTTTAAAAAAAAATGGGCTGATATCTCAGTTGTTTGTCCCATCTGTAAGAAAAAGGAAGAAACAATTCTTCATGCACTGTTATTCTGCAATCATGCAAAAGCTACTTGTTATGGTAGCCCTCTCAATTGCAGAGTTTCTGCACTTGGTAGCCCGGCTAGTTTTGCAAAGTGGATCTGTTTGTGGTTGGAAATTTGCAAAAATCAATTAGACCAAACCCCAAGTTGTATCTCCAATTCTGTTGTCATTTTGTAGGTCATCTGGAAATCTAGAAATAATTTTATTTTTAAGAATACTGATCCAGATCCTAGTTGGGAAATTTCTCGTGTGTTGATGAAGGAGATGAGCATGATTTCCACTCAAGGATGGCGACCTTCTTCTCAGACATCTGATCCAGTAGCTCGAAGATTTTTTTGGACCCCTCCTGACCTAGGTTGTGTAAAGGTCAATACTGATGGAAGCTTTTTGGCCTCTAGTGTTGCTAGTTTTGGTGTAGTAGCTCGAGACTCCAGTGGGAAAGTGCTTGTTGCTTCTTTTGGCTCATCCAAAGCCCAATCCCCCATCCAACCGGAAGCTTTAGTTGTTCTTAAAGGGTTGGATCTAGTTGGGGCTATTCAATCCCAGAACCTAGTTTTTGAAAGTGACTGTTCAAATTTTGTCTCCACTTTAATCTCTAGAGATGTGTTTTAGTACCATGACATTATGGAAAAAATTCGCTCTACTCCAATGATTTTTAGCTTTGTAAATGGAAGTGCTAATAGGGTAGCCCATGAGCTGGCAAAAAAAGGACTTCGAGGGTTGGGTTTCTTTACTTTCAAGTGTCCTAGTTGGATTCAGAACTATGCTGACAAGGATTTATCTGATCCATAGTTGTTAATGTTGATTATGTGCATTCCTTTTTAATGTATATTTCTTTTATACCAAAAAAAACAAAAAAAGTTGACAGTTTATTCTACCTCATAGGTAAGGGTGGATTCGAGCCAAGTTAACCCAAATACCTGGTTATACGAGCTCATCAGCTTGCCAAAACAATGCTAGGCTCGAGCTCGATTCAAGCTAGAGACTTGAACTTGAATTCAGCTTGGCTCAAAATCTTGTAAGCTTGAGCTTGATTCAAGCTAGAGACTTGAACTTGAATTCAACTCAGCTCAAAAGGTCACAAGTTTGAGCTTAGCTTGGCTCGAGCTCGACTACAAGGTAAGCTTCTTATAAAAAATAAAAATTATGCATATAAAAATAAATTTTTATTTTACATACAAAATATTAAGAATTATAAAAATTATTTATTATGGTATATAAAAAATAAAAATATTATATATACAAAATATTATTATATACATAATAAAAATTATTAAATATGTATGTATATATGTATACATATAATAAAAAATATTTATTATATATATTAAGCTCGATAAAGCTTGCAAGCCTTACGAGACAAAGTTCACTGTGTTTGAACTTGGCTCGAATAGCAAACAAACCTATATATTGGGCTTGAAGCTCGGTTTGAATTGAGTCGAATTGAGCTTTTCACGAGTTGAAATCAAATATATCCTGAAAGCTCGATTCATTTCCACCCCTACTTATAGCAAAGGAATTAGGCAAGTACCAAGTAGTATCTATTAGCATAGTCATTGAGCTAGGTTGTGTTTATTTTGGGGTTTACTCTATTCTGTTTAATGGCTTATTTTACTTTATCTGTACGGAAACCAAACAAAAAAAGATATAGTTTTAAACAAAAATAAAATCAAAATTTGCACCCAAAATCATTTGTATTATCATAGTTTTACATTAGTAAATAAATTTGTACCGTAACCAAATGCATCCTACAACGCAAAACACCTTACCCCGAACCCCATTGGGGCTAGAAATCCCAACCCCATATCCTTGTCCCCACGGGGAATGGGAATTCCCAAATAGTATAATATACAATATCATAATATAATATTTATTAACATATAAAAACAATTATAATATAACATAGTTGGGGTGTGTTTGGGACCAAGGTTGGTGTGGGGTGGACAAATACCATCCCCAATCCACAGATTTCAGGAACGCCGATCAGTGATAAAAAAACTCACCTTGAACTGGACGGTGCAGGACAAAGCCCCATGAGAATGGGTCAATTTGCCATCTCTAACCAAGGCTCGATTTGAAAAAAGTACAAATACAAATATGCAGAGTACAATTCTTTGTATTTTGTATGTATTCGTACTATTTTCAAATTGAGCCTAAAAAGATGATTTTGTTGCTACAAAAATATAAATGTTTAGTGAATTCTACCTTGCATAAGCTTGCTTTTTGGGACTCCATGATACAAGCTAGGGAATAGCCCATCTCTCCTACCTTGGTGTTCTAGGAATAATTTTTTTATACTACATAATATACATTACAGGATATTAAGGTGGGAGAGACATGACAAATGCATATGAACAATTGGTTAAAATTTTCGTCTAAGATAAATGAAATATTAGTATATTAGTGTATACACTGAATAGTGGTATCAGAGCCATGAACCTATGTGAATCAATTAATACAAATCTAAACTTCCAATCAATATTCTAATCTCCTAATATCTACCTTGCTCACCACGAATCTATAATAGATTATCAATCTGGCTCTGATACTACTCCCAACAAAATAGTAAGATTACTTTTTAAAAACAGGTAAGTTTTATGATGCCAGAAACTACGATATTTGAAAAAAATGGTTAAAGATTTTAGTTACCTTACGGCAGCATATAATTAATTACTTAACAATTAATAAAATTGAATGATCCTTAGAATTAATTGACAATGTCAATGCTTATTATCTACCATAAATGAGGTGAACACATTGTTGTTAGGGAGTGCTGTCGTGACATTGTAAGGGACGCCTGATTGGCCCGCAATTCAATTTTCGACGGTCCATGTTAACATCAGATGCTCCGTCTACGATAGAGAAATCCGGGAATTCCAGAGTAAGATCCTGCATAAATGTGAGAATGACTGTAGCTGAACGAATAGAAGATTTCTCCAAAGACGATGATCACTATTCCCCTTGAACCTAAAACCATGCATGTGTCGGAGAAAGGCTCATTGATGCGAAGTTTGAAGCAGTTACATCCTGCCGATCTCGGGACGTTAATGCTCATGTTATCCCCACGCCTACGGGCTACAGTCTTGATGCCATGCCTTTTTTTCTCTAAAGTCTGGACTTCGTTATTATATAAATCGATCCATTTAACAATGTATATTCAGCTTTACATATTTTTATGGTTTTTAAAAAACGATATAGAAATGGAACCGTTTTGACCATCAGTTTTTTGGTCAATGGTCTGATTGTCTGGTTCAAACGGATGATTCATTCTAACAAAAAAATTAAAAATTAAAAATTAAAAATGGCTAAAAACCATTGAACTGGTCGACGGGTCAACAGTTCAACCGCCCAAGTCAATAAGTTGTTGACTTTTTCAATGGTTTTTGGCCA